AAAGCCGACTTTAAGTCCAGAGTCGAAAATCACCTGGCTCCACTTAGGGCATCAATAGTATCATCAATTCTTGACAGCGGGTATGAGTCCTTTTCAGTTATACTGTTAAGAGTCCTGAAGTCCACACCGCAACGTTGGGTCCCATCCTTCTTCTGGACTAACACTACGGGAGCTGACAAGGGACTAACTAATTTCTCGACTATCCCTTCCTTAATTAGGCCATCCATGACCTTCTCCATCTCTTGTCACTTTGCCAGAATTATTCTCCTCTGAGGGATTTTTATTCGACGGTGATTGCCTGTGTTTATTCTGTGCTCCACAAGGTCTGTGCAGCCAAGATCATGATCTCCTTTTGAAAAGACGTCTACATAATTCGCCAAAAATTCCCTAACCTGAAGAACCTGTGATGATGATAAATGGACCATGCTCTTCTCATAGAGGTCAGTTAAATGTTCTGGGAGTGGATGTCCTTTCTTTATGGTTGTATTTCTTGCCTTAACAATGACTTGCTCTACCACCTGGCACACACCCAACAATGCTCCTTCCTTAAGTGTCTGCTCACATTTAGAGAAATTAGCCACTGTTATGGGTACTATTTGATGACCTGCCACAAGTGACCTTCCAATATTCAGATCCGCTGGTCTGGATTGGTCTTCCACTGCTTCCACAAGCATTGGGCTTCCTTGGGGATGTTCATTTATTCTACTCCAAATTATCTTCTCTGAAACAGGGGGTATTGTAGTTGATTTAATTGCTGTGACATGCAAATCAACAGATGCAGCAACACTTACTGGAAATTGACCTTTGTTGTTCCCAAACGTCATTTTATCAAAGTTGACTACACACTTTTTCGGTAGTAAGTAGTTCAACCCTAATATACATTGGTCTTCAATGTCAGCCAAGTATACCTTGTGTCTGTCCTTTATGCCCATGAGCTCAATAGTTACCCACACTGGTCCCCACAACCTTGCATAATGTCCTGTCACACCACAGAGCTTCTGTATGGCTTCTGGTACTCCTTTGTAATCTAGCACATTGATACTCACAAGTGTTTGTTGAGATGCAGAATCTATGACAAAGTTGCACTTTTGGCCATACAGCTTTCCTGTCACGTAGACACTGTGTTCTTGCCATTTTACACTTAGTTGTTAGTACTTTCACGATGGGGTTTGCTGGGCATCCCTCAACAACAACCACTACTGGTCTCCCCAGGCTGACTTATTGGTAATATTCTTCTTACACTGGCTGCTCATATGTCCTTCCTCTCCACAGTTCCAACAACCTTTCTAGGTAGCAGCCTTTCCTGCCGTGGCATCTTCCCTGTGTTGATGTTGCCGGCATTGAGCTCTCTTCTGCCCAGGTTTGTTACAGTGCCAGCAAAGTCCCTGAAACTTCTCGGAAAACTGTCCTTTTCTGGCATTGAATCCCGATGACTATACCAACCTTGGTACTTCTGTACTGGACTTAATGTGGGATTCAAATTCAAGAGCTCTGGCCATTGCATCCTGCAAAGTAGAGGGGTGTGTTTACTTTACTTGTATCTTCAGTTGTGGACTCTCCAAGGCATCTACAAACTGATTCCTCACCAACAACTTGAGGACATCGGGTGGTGCAATAGGGTAGGCCTTGTGTGTGCGATACTTTCCAAATTATGTATCAGCTCTTTCAAGCTCTCTCCTTTAGCACGGACTCTAGTCCTAAACCTAGCCTTGTAGAATTCGGACTGATTTTGAGTTCCATACCTGAGTTCTATAGCAACTACCAGTACTCTATAGTTGTGCCTGTCGTTTGCTGAAAACTGTCCAAGTTTTTCCAGTTGTTGTCCCTTCAGGCTCGTTGCTTGGTACACTGCTTTCTGCTCCTCGGTCCATCCATTCATTTCTACCAGGAGCTCAATTTGTGCTCTATATGCTTCCCACGGTGCCTTCCCATCGATTCCTGTGGCTTTGTCCATAGTAGATCACCCCTATTGATGACACTCATGTCTGGAATGTGACTTTTGACAGGACTGAAGATGTCCTCATTAGGATTTAGCTGCGTGATCTGGAAGTGGCTTCCCATTGTCTGGGGCTGATTAGGTCCATGGCTAATATATCCTCCTTGTGTAAAATACAGTAAATCATCCTTTAATGTATTTAATTCACTTTGAATGCTCGCTTTCTCTCAATTGTTGGATACTTTCTTCTTGTTTATTTGATTTCTCCTCCAACCACTGCTGTAGTCTCTCTTCTTGTTCATTTTCTTTATTCTCCAACCACTGCTGTAGTCTCTCTTCTTGTTTCTTTTCTCATTTTTCTTGTTTCCTTTTTTTTCTTCCAACAACTGCTGTAATCTCTCTTGTTTATTTTGCTGTTCGAGCTGGCACTGTTGCAGGTTTTCTTGCCACTGCTGTAGTCTCTCTTCTTGTTTCTTTTCTCATTTTTCTTGTTTCCTTTTTTTTCTTTCAACACTGCTGTAATCTCTCTTGTTTATTTTACTGTTCGAGCTGGCACAGTTGCAGGTTTTTTTGCCACTGCTGTTGTCTCTCTTCTTGTTTCTTTTCTCATTTTTCTTGTTTCCTTTTTTTTCTTTCAACAACTGCTGTAATCTCTCTTGTTTATTTTACTGTTCGAGCTGGCACAGTTGCAGGTTTTTTTGCCACTGCTGTTGTCTCTCTTCTTGTTTCTTTTCTCATTTTTCTTGTTTCCTTTTTTTTCTTTCAACAACTGCTGTAATCTCTCTTGTTTATTTTACTGTTCGAGCTGGCACAGTTG